CAAGGGACCCCAAGTAGCCTAAACAATCTTAAAAAAGAAAAGTAATGTTTAAGGAATCATACTTCCCAATTTTAAAACTGCAAAGCCAAAATAATGAAAACAGTGCACTACTTACATAAAGAGACATATAGTGAAATAAAATTGAGAGTTGGGAAATAAATCCTTACATTTATTGACAGCAGATTTTTAACAAGGGTATCAAGGCCATTTAATACGTTAAAAAATAGTATTTTCAACAATGGTGCTGTCCAACAAATGGACAACTGTATATCCACATGTAAAAAAAATATTTATTTACACCCCACCCTCCTGCCATATACAAAGATTAACTCAAAATGAATCAAAGAGCTTAATTTAAGAGCTAAAACTATAAAGCTCTCAGAAGAAAACATAGAGTAAATCTTTACAGCCTTGGATTAGGTGAGGGTTTATAGGATGTGATACCAAAAGCATAAACAAAATCTGCCTACCTACCTACCTATTTATATAAATTGAGTTTCATTAAACTTAATTACTTGTACATCAAACAATACTATCAAGAATTGCAAAGACAATCTACAAAATGAGAGAAAATATTTGTAAGTCATATATCTGATAAAGGTGTAGTATTCAGAATATACAAAGAACTAGAATTACAACCCTTTTAAACTATAAGAAAAGGACTTGAGTAGACATTTCTCCAAAGAAAATACACAAACAGCCAAGGAGACCATGAATAGATGTTCAATATCCTTAGTCATTAGGAAATGCAAATCAAAACAACAATGACATAACACTTTACATCCACTTGGGTGGCTATAATAACTTTTTTCTAAGGAGAAAATAAAAAGTATTGGTGAGAATGTGGAGTAACTGGAACCATCATACATTGCTAGCAGTGATGTAAAATAGTGCAGACTCTGTGGAAAACAACTGGCAGTTCTTCAAAAAGTTAAACATAGAATTATGATATAACCCAGGAATTCCTTTCCAAAGTATATATTCAAATAATAGATAACAAATGTTCAAACAACTACTTGTACATTAATGTTTATAGCAGTACTATTTATAATAGCCAAAAGATAGAAATAATCAAAACATCCTACAAAAGATGAACAGACAAGCAAATTGTGGTATATAATAGAATATTATTATATCCATACAATAGAATATTATTCAACCATAAAGAATGGAAGTACTGATACTTGCTTTACTGGGAATGAATCCTGAAAAACATGCTAAGTGAAATAAGCTGAACACAATAAGGTCACACATTATATGATTCCATTAATATGAAATATCCAAAATAGGTAAATCAATAGAGACAGAAAGCAAGTTCCCAGGGGCTGCTGGCAGGAGGTAGGAATGTTGAATTGATTGCTTAGTTACAGGGTTACCTTTTATAATGAAAATGTTCTGGAGGTAGACAGAAGTTATGGCAGCACACTATTTTGAATGTACTAAATGCCACTGAATTGTACATCTTAAAAATGGTTAATTTTATACATTAATTTAAGTTAAAAATGTTTTGGAGTGACTACTTATGAAGCCATAGTAATTGGAACATCTCCAAAACTTTTTGTCTTTCCTAGTCACATACTGGCATGTTTTATTTCAGAAGTCTTAGTGTTTTTTTTTTCACCTTCAGGTCTCAGGTTGATTTCCAGTATGATTTAATATAAGGATTAAGATTTTTTTTCCCAAATGAATGTCCAATGTTGAAGGGACTTTTCTTTTCCTATTTTTTCTGTACATGAGAAAAATTATGACTGCATTTGTAGATATATTTTTGGACTCTACTGTGTTCAATTGATCTGTTATTCAACCTTTTACCAAAATAACTCTGTCTTTACAACCGAAGTTCTATAAGAAGATTTGAAGTCAGGAAGACTAAATTCTCCAACTAGTTCATGTTTTTCAAGATTTTTTTTAGAAAATCATGGTCCTTTCACTTTCCAAATGAAATTATAAATAATATTGCTAATTTATTTTCTGAAAGAGTTGCACATGGTATTACGTTCTCTTCAAATGTCTGAATTCCCCAGGGAAACCATCTTGGTGTAGAGCTCTCTTTGTGGAAAATTATGTAAGGATTAATTTATTTTTTTTAACTAACATAGGACATTTAAATATTTCTATTTCTTCTTGAATCCATTTTGGTAATTTCTATCAAGGAATTCATACTTTTCATCTAAATTGTCGATTTTGTTGGCAAAGAGTTGTTCAAATTATCCCCTATCTTTTTAATGGTTTCATAATCTGTAGTCTTCTTCCCTCTTTCATCCTAACATTTGTACCTGGGTTTTCTCTCTTCTTTTTTTAATCAGTCTTTCTAGGTGCTTATTTGATTAATCTTTTCAAGTAACCAACTTCTGGATGTATTGACTTCTCTCTACTGTTTTTGTTTTCTATTTAAACTTCTACTATAATTCTTATCATTTCTTTTTCTCAACATATCCCTGTCTTAATGACATGTTTCTCAACATATCATTGTTTTCTATATTCTGAAAATGAAGGCTAAGATCATTGATTGTATACCATTCCTTGTACTTCCATAGGCTTTTGAAGCTATAGATTTCCTCTTAAGCACAGACTTAGCAACATCCTACAAATTTTAATGTTTTGTTTTTCAAAATGTTGTCTAATTTCTTTTGTAATTTTTGTTATGCATTATTTGGAAATATACTGTTTAATTTGAAATATTTAGGAGGCAGTTACTAGGTTTGTTATTGTAATTTAATTCAAATTTAATACCATTCTGTCAGAAAACACACTTCATATAATTTTACTCACTTTTTATGTTACAGTATACGGTCTATCTTGATGAATATTCCATCTGGAATTGAGAATTACATGTATTTTAACTTTTTTGGGTAGTGGTAAAAAATAAAAATGTCAAGGTAGTTGACAGTATTCAAATCTTCTATACCCTCCCTCATTTTTTGGTCTATTCTATCTGTCTATCTCTCTCTATAGTGCTGTAATCTTTCCCCTAAATATAGTTGGGAACTTTACTACTGAGTTTTTTTCATTTTTAGTAATACCCTTCATCTTGAATTATACTTGTTATGATATTAACATAGCCATTAAGGTTTCTTTATGCTTAGTATTTCAAACTGTGTTTTTGTTTAGATGTGTTTTCTGTAAACAGTCTATACATTTTTTAATCTAACCTGAAAATCTTTGCCTTTTAATTGAGATGTTTAGTACATTTACATTTATTACTGAAATGGTTGTGCTTAAGTCTACAATCTTGGTGCTTGATTTCTACTTTTCCAATCCATTTTTTATTTCTCAATTCCTCTTTTCCTGACTTTGTTTTGGGAGAATGAATCCTATTTTTTTTTTGGCATCCAATTTTAACTTATATACTGACTTTTTTATTTGTCTTTTTGTGCTTTTTTGTGATTCTTTACATATTACAATAAGCATCTTTAACCTGTCACAATATATGTTCAAAAGATAGTCTATTACTTCAGGAACAATTTAATATATTTGGACAGTATATTTCCAATTAATAACTCTTAATCCTGTGTTCTTGTCATATATATATATATATATTATCTCTACATATACTATAAAAATTCATGCTCTTTGTTATTAATCTTGCTTTAAAAAGCTAATAGTCAGGTGGAACCAGAGGTTAGGAGTAGGCCACCTGAAAAGGATGAAATATCATCAGATGCAAACACACCAACAACATTTTGTGGCTTGACAGCGTCCCATAAAGAGCACTGGCTCTGTAGGCTGAAGGGCCTTTAGCATTCCACTTCTGAGATGAAGGGATCTAGAACTGTAACCCCCTAGAGTTATGGATTTATCTGGGAAAGAGAGAGAAAAATAGAGAAACAAAAGACAGATCTGACAAACTCAGGATAGAAAGGGAAATGTGAGATTGAGTCTTGATTTATTCCATTTTCCATTTATTACTTTATTCATCTATTACTAAAATTTATCACTTATTAATTGAAGCAGATACTGCATTGGACATTACTGAGGATATGGGTATGAGCAACACATGAAAATTTTAACCTGTATATATAGTTTTTAAGGTCGGGACCTAATTCTATAAACTAACTGGGTAAAGCTCATAATTTAACTGGTAAATTAAGCAAAAATCACAATTTTAAAATAACATTTGAAGTTTTTAATACTTCACATAATTCTCATAAGAACTTTGTGGTTGATACAATACTTTTAAAGTACAACTATATAAATCAATAAACTTAAAGAGTTAGTTTTAGTCACTTTCACAAATGATCCAAATTCATATTCTAGTTAGCACCTAATGATTTTTCAAAATTTACAATCAAAAGTAATTATTTTCTACTTACTCCTTTCTTTGTTGAAATTAAAATTAAACATCTCACTCCAACAAGCACAGAAACTGATGTGTAATAACTGCTTTCAAACTCTTCTGTCTTCTGAGAATAACTGACTTAATAAAGACTTGGAAGCTATTTGGTATTTTTGTACACGTAGTGATAGGAAAGCATTGGGGAAACCCAATGGCTACTAACACAGCTGAAAAACTGGAGGGGTATTGATAGGGAAAGGGTAGTTATCATAAAGGGAGAGGGAAAACATACAGGGGCTTTCTAATTAATAATGAGAAGGACTTAAGGGAAATGAAGGATTTTTCAATTTTGTTAAATGTTTTGGATAGAAATCTCCTGTGCTTTCCCTAAATGTACTTTATTACATGTAGAGTTGTTCTTTCTTAGATGTGATGAAATGCTGCACCTGGACGAGAGGCAAGGGACACTCCAGCAAGGTAATATTCTTAAAAGAACACTACACTCAAAAAGGTCTAAATTAAAAATGCCTAAGATTATCAGCAAGTAGACATATATAAATAAACCTCAGTGTTAATGCTGAAATGAACATGAAAATGATTCATTAAGATTAATAGCCAAAAATATCAGATAAAAAGTTTGGCTTCAAATTCTAACTTTTTCCACACTTTGTTAACACACAGACTTACAAACATTAAGTAACATTTAAATGACAAGCTTCCTTACATGATTTGGATTCTGGTGATGGTGGAGAAATATTAGACACAGCAAGGTCACTTTTTGATTTTTTAGGCTTCTTTGCATTTAACTGCCAGGGCTTATCATAACTTCTGAAATCCCTTCTTGTTACTTTATGTTCTGTTAAAACAAAAAAATACATATATAAGCTCAATAATAAGTGATTTCAAGATTGATCAAAAACTAAATCCATAAAGTCATTAGATACACCTGGCAAAAGCTATAGGTCACCTTATATCAAAAATAATGCAAATATCCAAAGGTACTTCTGGCTTACTTTCCCCAGTAAATTTTAGTTTTGAATTTGATGTGATTCAATTTGTATATTAATATGATTAAACTGCGAAATTATTTGAAAGGCCTTTTAAGGAATGGATCACCATTGCTTAAAATAACTTCCTTTAAATTGGTGTCACAGAATAAAGCACTATATTTTCTTGTGAATAAAAATGACCAAACATTTAAGTGAAGTTTGTTCATCTGATTTTAACTTATCCATAATTCATTATGACACAGAACACCTTTGACATTCACCTACATTTCTTGCATAGCATCATTTTTTCCACTTCTTTATTTAAGAAAGAGTAATTGAACCAACTTTGTTTAAAGTTATAATTATCCTTCAAAGGTGGTCCAGGTCATACTAATTCCCAAATTAAATTATCTTTCCAAGAGTTCATCCCTCTTGACTTCTTTGCAAGCATTTCATATTTTTGGACAAACCCATCTTTGTGGATTTTTTATTTTATTCTCAGGGTACTACATTCTACTCCTACCTCTCAGACTACTTCTTCTCTGTCTTATACAGTGTTTACTCATTTTACTCTTTTATCTGTGTAATATTCCTTAGAGTTTCATTTTGTCTTCCTGTTTAAATTTACGACTTGTCAAGTAATCCTTGATTTATGGGTAGTTCATAAATCTTTCTCTGGCTACCCACTTACAAATACCAAATAGACATTATGAAACAGTATTTGGTTTCCTCAAATTTTCATGTTAGAGTTGTACTTAATTAGCTTAATCCAATTTTTCCACGTCTAACATGCCATTAAATACCAAAAGAGGCATAAATATTCTAAAACACTAGGAACAGAAATACTGGTCTGTGGTCTACCCCAACCCATGATGTATTTCCATAAATAAGAGTAAAACAAAAGATAGGCAAAAAAGAACAAGACTGGAAGATTTCTAGGCATCTACACTTGCCTCTACGTCAGTCATCTATTTCTGTTGTTTTGCAATCTATCAGAATTTGTCTTCCTATATCCATCCTAGTATCATAGTATCTTCTGATGCAACATGGCTAAAAGAAGAAAGAACCCTGGTCCTAAAATACAGCATCTTTTGATACAAAGAAAAAGTAAAAGGAGACAGAGAGGAATGGTACATTGGAGTTTACAGCTTTTTTACTTCACCACTACTGGTAAGGAGAAAAATTCACATTAACTTAAATAATCAATCAATGATATTGTTCTTCTTTAGTTGGTTGAAAAAGAAATGAGAGAAAAAGTCATTCATCAGTGTAGCAGAGACTCACAGGATTCAACTGATACTGAAAATTTTAGTAGCAGCCATGATTTTATCTGTCTCTTTAAAATTTTTACAAAGGACCCAAATAGTTCTGAGCTCTTTGGTGAGGACAAAGGGTCTACCTACACTGTTTACTGACAAATCTACAACTAGATAGAACACCCCTTATTTAAATTTGAATAAACAGAAAACATCATTTTAAGAAAGAAATAATAAATACAAAATACAAGAATACAGCATTCAAGATACAGAGGAAATGCATAGTTTTAGGAAAGAGTTACTATGAAAAACTAAATTTTAGAATGTGGCTAATTTGTCTTCTCAATAAAACTAAAAGAAAATGTTTTTTATGATACAAAAAGAAATGAGAGAGGAGAAAGGCTAACTAACCTATGATAAAAATATAACTGCAGACAGAAATGAAAAAAGATGAGTTAAGGAAAGACTTTCAGGAAACTAAAATGCAATGGCAACATTTAAAACTGTGTTCAAAGCCCAAAAGAAAACTGACACTGTAGAAAATTAACCAATCACACAGAGAACACACTTGACAAATCTCCCTAGAAGTTATTCAATAAAGAAAGGCAAATATAACATGAATGAAATGAGCGGAATGGAGTACAGTAAAGGAAACTCAATTTACACATAATAGATTTTCCTGAAGAAGTCAAAATAAATATAACAGAAGCAATAACTAAGTACACAAGAGGAAACCTGTTCTAGACTGCAGACCTGGATTTGCAGATTGAAAGGTTTCACTAACTATAAGGTAACATTTAAAAAAAAGAGACAATCATATCAATGCATTCCCAGTAAAACTTCTGAAATTCAGAAATAGAGAAGAAACAAATCCCACAGTATTTAAGAATATTTAGAATATCTAAAAAGGAATAAAAATAAATATAAACACAATAAAAATATTGTCAGGTTTCTCCTTGACAATATTAAGTGACAGACTTTTGAGGATATGTTGTGTCCCAAGTTGCTGGATACATTTAAAGGCAGTAAGATGATTTCTGCAGATATTTTCAAAAAGTATTACACTTATATACTCTGAATACTGAGACAATTTCTAGCTAACTAGAACATGCACCAAAAGAAACAATCCAAAATTTCACTCAAGGTTTAAATTGGCATTACTTACTGCTACCCAAATTATAACCTCTTCAATTACATTCATATCCAAGAATTTTTCTATGCTTTCCTTTTCTCTCATGCTATACTCTTCCTTCTAATTTTTTCCTCCTCCTTCTGGGACATACTTTCCATGGTAAACAAAAATTCATCTACCCTGAAAATCCCCCTTTTATATCTGAAGAGACACCCCTTTCTTTCCACAGGAGCACTCCTTCCTCTGCAGCATCCTGGAATGGAGCGTGTTCATTCCCTTATGTGGTACCCAGCACAGGCTGGGTTTTTCAGGTCCATCATTTTTAGGCTTGGAAGCAGGTTTTCTTATTCCAGTCTCCACATGAGAACACAGCCCAGCCAATACCTTGATTTCTAGCCTTGTGAGATTACACAGAGGACCTAGTTAAGCTGTGTGCAGACATGTGACCCATAGAAACTGAGATACTAAACATGTGTTGAAGAATACACTACTATCTCTCCAGGTACTACAATTTATAAACATAGGTTCACAGGAGCTTCATTGGGCTCTGAGATGTTTATCTGGTCTGCCTTCACACAGTGTCAAACGAGAGCTCATGCCTATTTACCCATGTTACTTAGAATTTAAACTCATTTAAATAAGGCCAGCAATAACCACGTCTCAAAAGGTACCAATATGAAAACACAGCCAAAGACCAAAATCCTTCCATAGATCCCATATAGCATGAAGAGGATGAGAGAAGTGAAGGTGTCACTCCAGGAAAGCACTTACAGCCCTGTCAGATTCCCATGGACATCAGGCAAGGAGTTGGCTACTGAAGCAAAAGGCATGGGAGGATTTGGTTTTGAAAGTAAATGCCAAACCAACAGACCATTGTGTATAAGAAAAAAGCTGTCAGACCCATACCATATTTTATAAGTAAAGATTGAAGTTAAGTCTACCCAGTTATCTCACCAGTGCTTAATGGGGAGACGAGGCTACTGCAGATTTGCTAAGGTAAATGTCCCCAATGCCCAGAGTAAATGAATCTTCTTACGGTTGAACTTACTGTATCGGTTAAAACTGGGGCTGGAGGAAACAGAGAGTGACCATCAGTTTGGGCACCAAAGAAACTTTGTAGAAATCTATTGTTTACCTTTCTATACATGAGCTATACATTTAATTCAAATTCTTCACAAAAAGAATTTTAGAATAATTAGCTTGAATTTATATAGAGTGGAATCCTATCATGCAAATCTGAATCTCATTTCTATTAAAATTGAATACACAGATTCTCATATTTTGAAACATAATACATAACATATTAATATATTCAAATATACTCAAATTCAAGAATATTTTACAACAAATTTTAGTACATGGGTGAATTCACAGATGAATGCATGAAACCCCTGGTAACCCTCTAAATTTATCTAATTATAATCAGACTTTCATACTTTTTTATATTAAATATAAAACAATTAACCGTAAAATATATTCTTTTCATTTACCTGATGTTTCACTTTCTGCCCAAAGAGCTGCAGATCCAGATAAAGTTCTTTGAAGTTGTCCACGGTTTCTTTGTTTAGACTGAAGATGGTCAATGAGAAATGGGATTGGCTGGTCAGGTGTCTCAGTTATTAATTTGGTCATTAATTCCTGGAGGCAGAATAGAGAATACATTTTTATCTAATAATAATATGAACACTTACAAAGCAGTTAAAATTGCCAGGCACTGCCCTAAGTGCTTTATATTAATTTAATCTTAATAACAATTTTTTCAAGCAGGTACAACTTGCTGTACTCATTTTGGGAAACTGAAGTACAGAAAAGCAAATTGTGTATGTTACACAGATAATACATGGCAAAGACAATATATATTTATTTTTTTTAATTTTTATTATTCTACTTGGCCAAGATATACTAGAAATTTAATCTACATTATTTTAATACTTACAAATGCCCTGATAGGTTTTCATTCTATCTTTTTTTTTTTAATGAGTAAAGTATGGAGATTTCTCTACCTACCCAAGGAGGCTATCCCATCTCTAATGATGCCCTAAATTGGGCAGAAATCTGCCTTGGGGTACTATCTACACACTGATTTCTCCAGGTAGGAACAGCAAAGAGCAAGCTCCAATTTGTGGTCAGTTAGAATCCCCAGACTGTTCTCATATGAACAGCTGCCAAGCCACGTGGATATCATTTTATGCTGTGTAACTGGGTCTGTGAACTTGCATAAACCATTTTAGATTTGTATCAGTCACATCTCATCTTGTTGGTCTTAGCTCAGAATTCTTGTCTGTAAATTATCATTTTTAGTTCAGATTCTCTGAGAGGCAATAGTTCCTATGAGTAAACCAGAAAATCAGATATTAGGAGTATTAATGGGAGGATACAATAAATTCCCTATCCCATTATCTTTTTTTATTGGTGGCCTATTTCTTTGTCCTTGAAGCTCTTCTCTCAGATGTTCAGATGGCTGGCTTATCGTCATCTGTCTCTAATGGTAACTTCTAAAAAGAGGCTTACCCTAACCATCTTCATGAGTCTTTATCACTTCATTATTGTACTTTCTTCACAAAATTTAGTGTTCTCCAGAATTATCTCATTTAATATTTGCTCATCTATTTATTCCTGTCTCTGCTCCTCCCCCACTAGAGCACAAACAAAGACTGGCCTGGTTTGATCTCAACTCTTACTTGAGAGCCTGGAACTCTCCCTAGCTCATACATGGTGTTGGATGAATAAATGAATGAATGAATGCTTGGTTTACTGATCACAGGTAAATATTAGTAATGAATTGTTGTCCTGATAATTAACAATTAACCTTATTGTCCTAATAAACAACAAAGCCTTCACAGATTTCTTAACCAGCAAAATATACTCTCTGAACTGCTCTTGAATACTCTCAAGAAACTGCTGTCATGGTATCTCAGGGATATTTCTTGGCATTTGTAATAGTTTAGAAACACAGATTTATCTGAGTAGAGGCTAAATGGATTTTGTAGATGACAAGATTCCCAGGTGATCTCAGAGACATAGATAAAATAATTTAAGGCATCTCAAAAATGTGCAGATTGAATACACAGTAACTAAAGAGAGCAAAGGATTTCTACCGTAAATATACTCTGAAGGGAAATATTCATCAGAGAAGTGTGATATTTTTTCTACTTTTCTGAAAAACAGGTAAGTAAGCAACCAATTGGCAAACAACTAGTTAGCACAGGTCTTTATTTGTTATTTAAATTTTCAATTATTATAGTTGTAACTAAAGAGATCATTCCTCTGTTGTGGTAAACCAATGCAGAGTCCAATTAAAACCCCAATTACACCTCCATGAAATGCCATTTAAAACGTTTTTTGGATTTTGCTTTTGTGGAAGAGATGTATTATGATCTCTTTAAATTCACTGTATATTGAAAAAGCTATGGAAAAATAAAAAGATAAACAGAAGGGCCAACTAGATTACTCTTGTCACAGAAGGCCTGGCACTCATAAAGCAAATTACACCAAATAACGGGGATTTAAAGCTATAGCAATTTATATCCCAAAGCCTCTGAAGAGTACATGAACTGTTTTCTTTTTAATGTTTCAAATTAAATGCAAAGTTTCAGTGGGTAATTTTTGTCTTTTAAAGTAAGCTGAAGTGTTCCTATGTGTATTATCTTTAGAAGATGGATCATACTAAAGTCACAATAAACCAAGTAATCACTGTTATATTTTTTAAAATGTAAGTCTAATGAACTAAAATACGATATGAAAAAGAACTTCCAACATCAGCACTCTCGGGAAGACTCATGCCAGAAGATGACCATCAAAAAACCCCAACAAAGATCCATGCACTGCTACAGGTGTAGATGCACTCATCCCACCAGTTCCTGGACTTGCCATGGGAATGAAGAAGGAGATATCTAAGCTGGCCTGTGCATACTGCAAAACAACAAATTTGACTGGATCTAAACTGTTGGAACTCAACCAAGAATTAGGAGAAGT